TTCTTCTAAAAAACTTTGATTCAATAAATTATATTGTTTGAAAATAAGAGGAAAGAAAATTAATCTTTATTTAGGAGAAAATTTAAAATTTTTACATTTAATTTTTATTTTAATCGTAAAAAACCCTTTTTTACACTCGCGCCATCTAGCGTAAATCACCGACGTTAAATCGTATTTGACATTTTAAAACCACCGATTTATTTCTTGCTAATATTATCGAGTTTTATTAAAAAATTAAGTCCAAATGAAGTGAAAAAAATATCAAAATACGTTTTTGGACTTCCAAAGTATGAGTTTAAAGTGAGTTGAGTTTTTATGTATTTATTTTAAAGGTAAGAAATAATAAAAAATAAATTTAGGCAATGCTCTATTTATTTGTATCTTCTTATTAAAACTTCACATAAAGAAATCAACAAGGAATCTCTTTCAAAGCGATTCCCTTCTTATAATAATAGTCAAAATAGAAAATCTTCATATAAAATAAAAAACTATTAACACATCAATGCTATGATCTCTTAATAATCTTCAATAATATTGCATCTGGTAACGATATTTTCTCATCACTTCCTACTTTGGCAACATTTCTTAAATTAAAATCGCAGTATAAAACTTCTTTAATTTCCCTATTTTTAAAACATTTTTTCTTTTTATATTCGTTTCTTTTTAATCAACTGTTGTATTGATATGTTACAACCAACATGCATTTTTTAAACACTTAATTTTTCTACCTGCAGGTACACGTTTTGCGAAACAAATTTAATTTCTATTGTTAGCTCTGCGTGAACGACAAGGAATGACAAAAAAGTATTTTAAATTCTTTTTCTTAATTTGAATACAAAAATATTGTCGGTTGTACACTTTGATTTTTATTTCCGTATCTTTTTAAAGGTAATTTTTCGTTAGAAAAATAGTCGGGGTTTCAGACTTATTTTTTTTTTGTAGTAAGATTTTAAATGAAACGAAAAGATGGAATGACACGTTGTTTTTTTTTTAAGTGATTAGGACCTACACTTTCATTCGGTTAATTAATTAATTAATTAATTAACCTTGATTTAATTTTTTTTTATTTTAATTTTAAGTTGTTTCGTTAGGGTCTACTCATACATTGATGCAGTTGGGGCAACTTCAAGTAACATTTGTAAGAAAACTGTTACTCCATCTAAATTAAAAAAAAAAATAATTAGATTTTTCTTCTTTGGCAAAAAATTTAGGACTTACCCATAAATGGTACTCGCAACTTGTAATGCACGAATGGAAGGTAAAAAACCATTCCACCGAGAATAAAAAGGGCCGCATAAAGATATTCAATGGTTGGCTTATCAATTATTGGTCCAACAACCAAATAGATCGAAACTAGTAACACCAGGATAGGAATGATGACTGGAACCTAACAGAAAATTGATTAAAAAGTAATTTCTTTTTTAAATTCATACTTTGTATGGTCTCGGATGATTTGGTTTTGTGAATCGCATTACAATTAACGCCAACATAGCACCACCATAAAAAATCCAAGCGGTAAAACTAAAAAAGTCAATCAACGAATCTATCGTTCCATATAAAACCATCGCTCCTGCTATTAAAGACTAAAAATCATAAAAAGAAAATATCAATTTTATTTTCAACGATTTTATTTGAAATTATTACATGAAAGATTAATCCTGGCGCGGGAGTATATCTTTTGATGTGAACATACGATAAGATGTCGAGTAGATGTCCTTCTCTGCTGGCAGCGAAACAAAGTCTCCCAGCTGCGAATAAGGTCCCATTGGCCGCTCCAAACGTTGATATGGTGACAGAAAGGGGCATCAGCCAAGCCATAGCGCCTAACAAACGATTTCCAAAGGTAACGGCGACCGCTTCCGAAGTCATCATTTCCAGTGGTGACATTACTGTTAAGTACGATACATTAATGAGCGCATAACATATCGTTACTAATGGAATCCCGATTACTATGCTACGTGGCAGATTCCTGTAAACCAGAAACAGAAAATAGGGCATCATAACTGTATCGATTTTTTCAGACCGTATTCACTGTTGTATGATGGTCGAGACCTAAAAAAAATTTTTTCAACAACAGAAAAATTGGGATGGAAAGTAAGGGTTTAAAGGGATAAATTAAAGAGATTGAGAATTATGAGATTTTATATGATCCTTTATCCAATCGTATTGACTTACTTGGAGGGATGTTTAATTTCTTCCGTGACATAATTGAGGTTATTCCATCCATCGTAAGCCCATAATCCAGTGTAAAACGCTGTGGCGATGTTCCCGATGGAATAAACCGTACCCTTGAAGGGATTTTTTAAATGTTGTACGTTACCTAAAAAATAAAACTCATTTTTTATATCAAAAATTAATGTTTAAGTGATGTGCAGTGTGTTAATTAATTATCGTACCCAAGTATGCAACCAACATCACAGTACGCGTATTGCAATACCAATACTGTGATGTTGGTTGCATACTTACAATGATGACGTTGGGTACGATAATTAATTAATACAGTGTATTACGTTACATTTATATTGGAAAGGTTAGAGAGTTAATAATAATTGATAAGCCTGCGACCAAAAAACTTTTTTGAACTTGTCATTAAAAACACCAGAGAAACATTACAAACTTTGATCATGACTGTTATTTTTTCTACTATGATTTGAATGCGAGTTGTAGCTTTACCCAACATTGGTTTGCACATTTGTCAGAGGCAAAACTAAAAGAAGGAATTTTTGTGGGTCCTGACAAACGTAAATTAATGTTTGATGAAAAATTTCAGTACACAATGTCACGTGTTGAAAAAGAAGCTTGAAATGCTTTCAAAAAGGTGATCACTAGATTTTTAGGGAATGAAAAAGACCCTAACTATATGGGCATTGTCGATGATCTTCTCAAAAAAATGGAAAACCTTGGCTGCTTGATGAGCATAAAAGTTTACTGTCTACATTCTTATTTGGATTCTTTCCCTGAAAACTTGTGCCAATGAAGAGCAGGGTGAATGTTAAGTTAATTTGTTTATAACAACTGAGAATTGATTGCGATATCAAATTAAAGCTTAAAATCTCTTCTTTAAAATGATATAATTTAATGTATGAGTTGATTAGAAAAATTTCCGAGAAAAACAATTTTAATGATTACCCACAAAAAGAGGTTAGATTTAACGTTTATAAATTTGAAAAAATCATATCTAATTTGTTTATAACAACTAAGAATTGATTTTGATATCAAATTAAAGCTTAAAATCTCCTCTTTAAAATGATATAATTTAATGTATGAGTTGATTAGAAAAAAATTCCGAGAAAAACAAATTTAAATGATTACCCACAAAACGAGGTTAGATTTGAAGTTTAGAAATTTGAAAAAATCATATCTAATTTGTTTATAACAACTAAGAATTGATTATGATGTGAAATTAAAGCTTAAAATCTCCTCTTTAAAATGGTATAATTTAATGTATGAGTTGATTAGAAAAATTTCCGAGAAAAACAATTTTAATGATTACTCACAAAAAAGGTTAGATTGATGACGTTTATAAATTTGAAAAAATCATATCTAATTTGTTTATAACAAGTAAGAATTGATTTTGATATCAAATTAAAGCTTGAAATCTCCTCTTTAAAATGATATAATTTAATGTATGAGTTGATTAGAAAAATTTCCGAGAAAAACAAGTTTTATGATTACTCACAAAAGAGGTTAGATTTGACGTTTATAAATTTGAAAAAATCATATCTAATTTGTTTATAACAACTAAGAATTGATTTTGATATCAAATTAAAGCTTGAAATCTCCTCTTTAAAATGATATAATTTAATGTATGAGTTGATTAGAAAAATTTCCGAGAAAAACAAGTTTTATGATTACTCACAAAAGAGGTTAGATTTGACGTTTATAAATTTGAAAAAATCATATCTAATTTGTTTATAACAACTAAGAATTGATTTTGATATCAAATTAAAGCTTGAAATCTCCTCTTTAAAATGATATAATTTAATGTATGAGTTGATTAGAAAAATTTCCGAGAAAAACAAGTTTTATGATTACTCACAAAAGAGGTTAGATTTGACGTTTATAAATTTGAAAAAATCATATCTAATTTGTTTATAACAACTAAGAATTGATTTTGATATCAAATTAAAGCTTGAAATCTCCTCTTTAAAATGATATAATTTAATGTATGAGTTGATTAGAAAAATTTCCGAGAAAAACAAGTTTTATGATTACTCACAAAAGAGGTTAGATTTGACGTTTATAAATTTGAAAAAATCATATCTAATTTGTTTATAACAACTAAGAATTGATTTTGATATCAAATTAAAGCTTGAAATCTCCTCTTTAAAATGATATAATTTAATGTATGAGTTGATTAGAAAAATTTCCGAGAAAAACAAGTTTTATGATTACTCACAAAAGAGGTTAGATTTGACGTTTATAAATTTGAAAAAATCATATCTAATTTGTTTATAACAACTAAGAATTGATTTTGATATCAAATTAAAGCTTGAAATCTCCTCTTTAAAATGATATAATTTAATGTATGAGTTGATTAGAAAAATTTCCGAGAAAAACAAGTTTAATGATTACTCACAAAAGAGGTTAGATTTGACGTTTATAAATTTGAAAAAATCATATCTAATTTGTTTATAACAACTAAGAATTGATTTTGATATCAAATTAAAGCTTGAAATCTCCTCTTTAAAATGATATAATTTAATGTATGAGTTGATTAGAAAAATTTCCGAGAAAAACAATTTTAATGATTACCCACAAAAAGAGGTTAGATTTGACGTTTATAAATTTGAAAAAATCATATCTAATTTATTTATAACAACTAAGAATTGATTTTGATATCAAATTAAAGCTTGAAATCTCCTCTTTAAAATGATATAATTTAATGTATGAGTTGATTAGAAAAATTTCCGAGAAAAACAATTTTAATGATTAGCCACAAAAAGAGGTTAGATTTGACGTTTATAAATTTGAAAAAATCATATCTAATTTATTTATAACAAGTAAGAATTGATTTTAATATCAAATTAAAGCTTGAAATCTTCTCTTTAAATTGATATAATTTAATGTGAGTTGATTAGAAAAATTTCCGAGAAAAACAATTTTAATGATTTCCCACAAAAAGAGGTTAGATTTGACGTTTAGAAATTTGAAAAAATCATATCTAATTTATTTATAACAACTAAGAAATGATTTTGATATCAAATTAAAGCTTGAAATCTCCTCTTTAAAATGATATAATTTAATGTATGAGTTGATTAGAAAAATTTCCGAGAAAAACAATTTTAATGATTACCCACAAAAAGAGGTTAGATTTGACGTTTATAAATTTGAAAAAATCATATCTAATTTATTTATAACAACTAAGAAATGATTTTGATATCAAATTAAAGCTTGAAATCTCCTCTTTAAAATGATATAATTTAATGTATGAGTTGATTAAAAAAAATTTCCGAGAAAAACAATTTTAATGATTGTCCACAAAAAAGGTTAGATTTAATGACGTTTATAAATTTGAAAAAATCATATCTAATTTGTTTATAACAAGTAAGAATTGATTTTGATATCAAATTAAAGCTTGAAATCTCCTCTTTAAAATGATATAATTTAATGTATGAGTTGATTAGAAAAATTTCCGAGAAAAACAATTTTAATAATTAGCCACAAAAAGAGGTTAGATTTGACGTTTATAAATTTGAAAAAATCATATCTAATTTATTTATAACAACTAAGAAATGATTTTGATATCAAATTAAAGCTTGAAATCTCCTCTTTAAAATGATATAATTTAATGTATGAGTTGATTAGAAAAATTTCCGAGAAAAACAATTTTAATAATTAGCCACAAAAAGAGGTTAGATTTGACGTTTATAAATTTGAAAAAATCATATCTAATTTATTTATAACAACTAAGAAATGATTTTGATATTAAATTAAAGCTTGAAATCTCCTCTTTAAAATGATATAATATAATGTATGACTTGATTAGAAAAATTTCCGAGAAAAACAACTTTAATGATTACCCACAAAAAGAGGTTAAATTTGACGTTTATAAATTTGAAAAAATCATATGTAATTTGTTTATAACAACTAAGAATTGATTTTGATATCAAATTAAAGCTTGAAATCTCCTCTTTACAATGATGTAATTTAATGTATGAGTTGATTCGAAAAATTTCCGAGAAAAACAATTTTAATGATTACCCACAAAAAGAGGTTAGATTTGACGTCTATAAACTTGAAAAATTCATATCTAATTTGTTTATAACAACTAAGAATTGATTTTGATATCAAATTAAAGCTTGAAATCTCCTCTTTACAATGATGTAATTTAATGTATGAGTTGATTAGAAAAATTTCCGAGAAAAACAATTTTAATGATGATTACCCACAAAAAGAGGTTAGATTTGACGTTTATAAATTTGAAAAAATCATATCTAATTTATTTATAACAACTAAGAAATGATTTTGATATTAAATTAAAGCTTAAAATCTCCTCTTTAAAATGATATAATTTAATGTATGAGTTGATTAGAAAAATTTCCGAGAAAAACAAATTTAATGATTACTCACAAGAAAAGAGGTTAGATTTGACGTTTATAAATTTGAAAAAATCATATCTAATTTATTTATAACAACTAAGAAATGATTTTGATATTAAATTAAAGCTTAAAATCTCCTCTTTAAAATGATATAATTTAATGTATGAGTTGATTAGAAAAATTTCCGAGAAAAACAACTTTAATGATTACCAACAAAAAAGGTTAGATTTGATGACGTTTATAAATTTGAAAAATCATATCTAATTTATTTATAACAACTAAGAAATGATTTTGATATTAAATTAAAGCTTGAAATCTCTTCTTTAAATTGATATCATTTAATGTATGAGTTGATTATAAAAATTTCCGACAAAAACAGCTTTAATGATTACCCACAAAAAGAAGTTAAATTTGATGACATTTATAAATTAGAAAAAATTATATCTAATTTGTTTATAACAACTAAGAAATGATTTTGGTATCAAATTAAAGCTTGAAATGTCCTCTTTAAAATGGGCTACCTGATGAGCATAAAAGTTGACTTTCTACATTCTTATTTGGATTTTTTCCCTGAAAACATGGGTAGTACCAGGTGAATGTTTCCATCAAGATATTAAGGTCATGGAGAGGAGATATCAGGGTAAATTCTCTCAGGGTCATATTCTACTAGTTAGTTCCAGATTATTGTGTTGAGATGTGGATAAATGATGGGTGATGGGGAAAAAGTGGCATCATTTTCGGATTCAGCACCTTTCAAAACTGTTTGATCACCCTAAATTATCTAAAAAGTTTTTATGAAATTCATTTTTGCAGGTCTGTGATCGTTATTGTTCATAATTTTATTATTAATCATAGAGAAGGATAATAAAATTTATTTTTTTAGATTGATTGAAAAGGATCGATTAAAAACAACTTNCGTTTACGTTGGAGCTGCGATAAACGATACTAGCAAAATAACGAAATTGTTGTCATAGTTTTATATGCAAGTGTTTATATTGGAGCGACGAATTGTCACAAGCTTGACAGCCGACTAACGATAAGAGCGACGCTAATTGTATTCCCTATTTTCTTTGCGTGTGGTCGGCATGGATATCGACTGTTTAATTAGTGAAATTTTTGTGGAACCAAAAAGATAAAAATTACCACAACAGATTTGTTCTGACAAATCGTTTTCAATTCATTTTGCGCAGGTCTTATCGCTGCTCTCATTGTTGTTCTTATCGTTTATCGCAGCTCTCGTTCCAATATAAACACCTGCATATAAAACTATGACAACAATTTCGNTAATTATAAATTATCCTGTGATCGTTATTGTTCATAATTATTAATCATAAAATAATTTTTTTTTAGATTGATTGAAAAGGATCGATTAAAAACAACTTGTTGGCGTTCACAAAAGAGGCCACGTCATCATTAAAACGATTTTTCAGTTAATAATTAACGAGTATCATACCTTCGAACATTTTATATGCTCCCCCGACAATCACAATAAGAACAGCGACCAATTTCGCTGCGGTAAAAATGTTTTGGACGCTTGTAGCCAAGTTGACACTGTAGCAGTTGATGTATAAAATCACAACTAAAAAAGAATTGTTTAACAATAATCAAAAAGGTAATAAATTACTATATTTACCTATTGTTAACAAAGTAACCATCTTTACAACAATCTCGGGAGGTTCGCACTCGGTGACGAATGCCTCGACGGCATATTTACCAAAACTGAGACAGATTATCGCCATTTGTGAGGGTTTTAGTACGAGAGTGCTCGCCCAAGAGAAAAGGAACGCGGGCGGAGCACCAAAAGCGTCCATAAAATACGCGTATTCAGCCCCCGATGATGTGTTCATGGTACCCAATTCAGCATATGATAGGGCACCTAAAAAAGTANCTCTTATCGCTGCTCTCATTGTTGTTCTTATCGTTTATCGCAGCTCTCGTTCCAATATAAACACCTGCATATAAAACTATGACAACAATTTCGTTGTTTTGGTAGTATCGTCGCTATTATCGTTTATCGCAGCTCCAACGTAAACACACCCTTAGTTCAGGTCGGTACATCCAACATGTCTGACTTTCTGATTACCCCCACCACCACCACATACGCACTCTAGATTATATATAAGACCTCAATGGTATAAGGTTATCCATTCCATATGTACGCTGTTGTTATGAACGTATCCCCCGCAAAGTCCTTGCTGTGACGTCATTGGAAGAATTGACATTTCTATGCTTTTATTTATACCATATATATACCATCTCCTATATCGCTGACTCCCTATCTAAGCAATGAGTAGCGAGCGTTTCCATCAAAGGCAGACGGAATGATACATGTTCTGTCTTTGTCGTTACAAGTGTCGCGAAAGCGCATGCGTGAACCGTAAATTTTAAAGAGCCTGAAGTGTTTCGCGCGTATTTTATGCAGTTTGAAAATGTAATTATTGTAGATAATTTACTTTAATTATAAATTATCCTGTGATCGTTATTGTTCATAATTATTAATCATAAAATAATTTTTTTTTAGATTGATTGAAAAGGATCGATTAAAAACAACTTGTTGGCGTTCACAAAAGAGGCCACGTCATCATTAAAACGATTTTTCAGTTAATAATTAACGAGTAACATACCTTCGAACATTTTATATGCTCCCCCGACAATCACAATAAGAACAGCGACCAATTTCGCTGCGGTAAAAATGTTTTGGACGCTTGTAGCCAAGTTGACACTGTAGCAGTTGATGTATAAAATCACAACTAAAAAAGAATTGTTTAACAATAATCAAAAAGGTAATAAATTACTATATTTACCTATTGTTAACAAAGTAACCATCTTTACAACAATCTCGGGAGGTTCGCACTCGGTGACGAATGCCTCGACGGCATATTTACCAAAACTGAGACAGATTATCGCCATTTGTGAGGGTTTTAGTACGAGAGTGCTCGCCCAAGAGAAAAGGAACGCGGGCGGAGCACCAAAAGCGTCCATAAAATACGCGTATTCAGCCCCCGATGATGTGTTCATGGTACCCAATTCAGCATATGATAGGGCACCTAAAAAAGTAAACAAATTAATCAATAAAAGTTCAATATCTCATAGACTAAACCGAATTTCATCATAATTACGATACCAAATTAACCCAATTTTCAAGTAAATTTGGATTAAATCCAAAATGCACATTTCCCACACGTAAATGTTATGATTTCAGTCAACATACGTTTATGTGTTTGTCGGTATTTTTTTGGCGAAGTTTAACTTACATATATCTTGTTACGTTTAGATTAAAACGTTCTAAAGTACATACATACAATGATTTTAGAAACTATTTTCAATGTAAATTGAACGTGAATTTACATCAACTTGAATTATTACCACTTAGTTTTCAAACAACTTTATTTTATTATGATTTTTTTTAGAAAAATGAGTAAGATCGGATTTGGATTCGATCGAAAAATTTTGCGTGCCTCGTATGACGTCAAAAAGCGAACCGAAACGCGTTACTAAAAATATGTGTGAATGGAGCGTTACTATTTTCGTTCTTTGCGCCACTTCGATTTTTGTTACGACCGAATGGTTTTTGGCGTTCAAAAATTATTTACCTAGTAATGATAGACCTCCGCAGGCCATCCAAATTACAAAGCTCATCCCAATTGATCCAGTTCGCTCCAACAAACCAGACGGTGAAACGAAAATTCCAGATCCTAAAATTTTTTTTTTTATTTTCCTTTTTTTTTGATGGTTTCAAATTTACCAATCATTGTGCCAACAATTAAAGCCACCCCACTGACGAGTCCCACCCGTCTCTTGAGGTGAAGAGCGTCATTCTCAGTTGGGCCGGGTCCCTCCAACTGGTCCGGCCCTGTGCAGCCTGTACCCTCAAAGCAGCCTGTGCCCCCTTCCGAGTCGCCCCCTGAGCCCCCGATTGTTGACCCAACATTTGGACCCCCTGAACAGTCGCCCCCTCCATTGAGTATCCCTGGACTGTGCCCATTTGACCTACCACGCCACTGTAAACCTTCTTTTGTGATGGACGCATTATTGTTTCCTACAACAATAAATAGTTATTAAAGTTCAAAAAATCATATCTACTTTGTTTATAACAACTAAGAAATTAAAGCATGAAATTCCCTCTTTAAAATGATATAATTTAATGTATAACTTGATTAGAAAAATTTCCAAGAAAAATAATTTTAATGGTTACCCACAAAAAGAGGTTAAATTTGATGACGTTTATAAATTTGAAAAAGTCATATATGATTTATTTATAACAACTAAGAAATAATTTTGATATCAAATCAAAGCTTGAGATCTCCTCTTTAGAATGATATAATTTAATGTATGAGTTGATTAGAAAAATTTTCGAGAAAAACAAATTTAATGATTACCCACAAAACGAGGTTAGATTTGACGTTTAGAAATTTGAAAAAATCATATCTAATTTGTTTATAACAACTAAGAAATGATTCTGATATCAAATTAAAGCTTAAAATCTCCTTTTTAAAATGATATAATTTAATGTATGAGTTGATTAGAAAAATTTCTGAGAAAAACAATTTTAATGATTAGCCACAAAAGGAGGTTAGATTTGACGTTTATAAATTTGAAAAATCATATCTAATTTGTTTATAACAACTAAGAAATGATTTTGATATCAAATTAAAGCTTAAAATCTCCTCTTTAAAATGATATAATTTAATGTATGAGTTGATTAGAAAAATTTCCGAGAAAAACAATTTTAATGATTACCCACAAAAAGAGGTTAGATTTGACGTTTATAAATTTGAAAAAATCATATCTAATTTGTTTATAACAACTAAGAATTGATTTTGATATCAAATTAAAGCTTAAAATCTCCTCTTTAAAATGATATAATTTAATGTATGAGTTGATTAGAAAAATTTCCGAGAAAAACAATTTTAATGATTACCCACAAAAAGAGGTTAGATTTGACGTTTATAAATTTGAAAAAATCATATCTAATTTGTTTATAACAACTAAGAATTGATTTTGATATCAAATTAAAGCTTAAAATCTCCTCTTTAAAATGATATAATTTAATGTATGAGTTGATTAGAAAAATTTCCGAGAAAAACAATTTTAATGATTACCCACAAAAAGAGGTTAGATTTGACGTTTATAAATTTGAAAAAATCATATCTAATTTGTTTATAACAACTAAGAATTGATTTTGATATCAAATTAAAGCTTAAAATCTCCTCTTTAAAATGATATAATTTAATGTATGAGTTGATTAGAAAAATTTCCGAGAAAAACAATTTTAATGATTACCCACAAAAAGAGGTTAGATTTGACGTTTATAAATTTGAAAAAATCATATCTAATTTGTTTATAACAACTAAGAATTGATTTTGATATCAAATTAAAGCTTAAAATCTCCTCTTTAAAATGATATAATTTAATGTATGAGTTGATTAGAAAAATTTCCGAGAAAAACAATTTTAATGATTACCCACAAAAAGAGGTTAGATTTGACGTTTATAAATTTGAAAAAATCATATCTAATTTGTTTATAACAACTAAGAATTGATTTTGATATCAAATTAAAGCTTAAAATCTCCTCTTTAAAATGATATAATTTAATGTATGAGTTGATTAGAAAAATTTCCGAGAAAAACAATTTTAATGATTACCCACAAAAAGAGGTTAGATTTGACGTTTATAAATTTGAAAAAATCATATCTAATTTGTTTATAACAACTAAGAATTGATTTTGATATCAAATTAAAGCTTAAAATCTCCTCTTTAAAATGATATAATTTAATGTATGAGTTGATTAGAAAAATTTCCGAGAAAAACAATTTTAATGATTACCCACAAAAAGAGGTTAGATTTGACGTTTATAAATTTGAAAAAATCATATCTAATTTGTTTATAACAACTAAGAATTGATTTTGATATCAAATTAAAGCTTAAAATCTCCTCTTTAAAATGATATAATTTAATGTATGAGTTGATTAGAAAAATTTCCGAGAAAAACAATTTTAATGATTACCCACAAAAAGAGGTTAGATTTGACGTTTATAAATTTGAAAAAATCATATCTAATTTGTTTATAACAACTAAGAATTGATTTTGATATCAAATTAAAGCTTAAAATCTCCTCTTTAAAATGATATAATTTAATGTATGAGTTGATTAGAAAAATTTCCGAGAAAAACAATTTTAATGATTACCCACAAAAAGAGGTTAGATTTGACGTTTATAAATTTGAAAAAATCATATCTAATTTGTTTATAACAACTAAGAATTGATTTTGATATCAAATTAAAGCTTAAAATCTCCTCTTTAAAATGATATAATTTAATGTATGAGTTGATTAGAAAAATTTCCGAGAAAAACAATTTTAATGATTACCCACAAAAAGAGGTTAGATTTGACGTTTATAAATTTGAAAAAATCATATCTAATTTGTTTATAACAACTAAGAATTGATTTTGATATCAAATTAAAGCTTAAAATCTCCTCTTTAAAATGATATAATTTAATGTATGAGTTGATTAGAAAAATTTCCGAGAAAAACAATTTTAATGATTACCCACAAAAAGAGGTTAGATTTGACGTTTATAAATTTGAAAAAATCATATCTAATTTGTTTATAACAACTAAGAATTGATTTTGATATCAAATTAAAGCTTAAAATCTCCTCTTTAAAATGATATAATTTAATGTATGAGTTGATTAGAAAAATTTCCGAGAAAAACAATTTTAATGATTACCCACAAAAAGAGGTTAGATTTGACGTTTATAAATTTGAAAAAATCATATCTAATTTGTTTATAACAACTAAGAATTGATTTTGATATCAAATTAAAGCTTAAAATCTCCTCTTTAAAATGATATAATTTAATGTATGAGTTGATTAGAAAAATTTCCGAGAAAAACAATTTTAATGATTACCCACAAAAAGAGGTTAGATTTGACGTTTATAAATTTGAAAAAATCATATCTAATTTGTTTATAACAACTAAGAATTGATTTTGATATCAAATTAAAGCTTAAAATCTCCTCTTTAAAATGATATAATTTAATGTATGAGTTGATTAGAAAAATTTCCGAGAAAAACAATTTTAATGATTACCCACAAAAAGAGGTTAGATTTGACGTTTATAAATTTGAAAAAATCATATCTAATTTGTTTATAACAACTAAGAATTGATTTTGATATCAAATTAAAGCTTAAAATCTCCTCTTTAAAATGATATAATTTAATGTATGAGTTGATTAGAAAAATTTCCGAGAAAAACAATTTTAATGATTACCCACAAAAAGAGGTTAGATTTGACGTTTATAAATTTGAAAAAATCATATCTAATTTGTTTATAACAACTAAGAATTGATTTTGATATCAAATTAAAGCTTAAAATCTCCTCTTTAAAATGATATAATTTAATGTATGAGTTGATTAGAAAAATTTCCGAGAAAAACAATTTTAATGATTACCCACAAAAAGAGGTTAGATTTGACGTTTATAAATTTGAAAAAATCATATCTAATTTGTTTATAACAACTAAGAATTGATTTTGATATCAAATTAAAGCTTAAAATCTCCTCTTTAAAATGATATAATTTAATGTATGAGTTGATTAGAAAAATTTCCGAGAAAAACAATTTTAATGATTACCCACAAAAAGAGGTTAGATTTGACGTTTATAAATTTGAAAAAATCATATCTAATTTGTTTATAACAACTAAGAATTGATTTTGATATCAAATTAAAGCTTAAAATCTCCTCTTTAAAATGATATAATTTAATGTATGAGTTGATTAGAAAAATTTCCGAGAAAAACAATTTTAATGATTACCCACAAAAAGAGGTTAGATTTGACGTTTATAAATTTGAAAAAATCATATCTAATTTGTTTATAACAACTAAGAATTGATTTTGATATCAAATTAAAGCTTAAAATCTCCTCTTTAAAATGATATAATTTAATGTATGAGTTGATTAGAAAAATTTCCGAGAAAAACAATTTTAATGATTACCCACAAAAAGAGGTTAGATTTGACGTTTATAAATTTGAAAAAATCATATCTAATTTGTTTATAACAACTAAGAATTGATTTTGATATCAAATTAAAGCTTAAAATCTCCTCTTTAAAATGATATAATTTAATGTATGAGTTGATTAGAAAAATTTCCGAGAAAAACAATTTTAATGATTACCCACAAAAAGAGGTTAGATTTGACGTTTATAAATTTGAAAAAATCATATCTAATTTGTTTATAACAACTAAGAATTGATTTTGATATCAAATTAAAGCTTAAAATCTCCTCTTTAAAATGATATAATTTAATGTATGAGTTGATTAGAAAAATTTCCGAGAAAAACAAATTTAATGATTACCCACAAAAAGAGGTTAGATTTGACGTTTATAAATTTGAAAAAATCATATCTAATTTGTTTATAACAACTAAGAATTGATTTTGATATCAAATTAAAGCTTAAAATCTCCTCTTTAAAATGATATAATTTAATGTATGAGTTGATTAGAAAAATTTCCGAGAAAAACAAATTTAATGATTACCCACAAAACGAGGTTAGATTTGACGTTTATAAATTTGAAAAAATCATATCTAATTTGTTTATAACAACTAAGAATTGATTTTGATATCAAATTAAAGCTTAAAATCTCCTCTTTAAAATGATATAATTTAATGTATGAGTTGATTAGAAAAATTTCCGAGAAAAACAAGTTTAATGATTACTCACAAAAGAGGTTAGATTTGACGTTTATAAATTTGAAAAATCATATCTAATTTGTTTATAACAACTAAGAATTGATTCTGATATCAAATTAAAGCTTGAAATATCCTCTTTAAAATGATATAATATAATGTATGAGTTGATTAAAAAAATTTCCGAGGAAAACAATTTTAATTAGCCACAAAGAGGTTAGATTTGACGTTTATAAATTTGAAAAAATCATATCTAATTTGTTTATAACAACTAAGAAATGATTTTGATATCAAATTAAAGCTTGAAATCTCCTTTTTAAAATGATATAATTTAATGTATGAGCTGATTAAAAAAAAATTCCGAGAAAAACAATTTTAATGATTACTCACAAAAAAGGTTAGATTGATGACGTTTATAAATTTGAAAAAATCATATCTAATTTGTTTATAACAAGTAAGAATTGATTTTGATATCAAATTAAAGCTTGAAATCTCCTCTTTAAAATGATATAATTTAATGTATGAGTTGATTAGAAAAATTTCCGAGAAAAACAAGTTTTATGATTACTCCACAAAACGAGGTTAGATTTGACGTTTATAAATTTGAAAAAATCATATCTAATTTATTTATTACATCTAAGAAATGATTTTGATATCAAATTAAAGCTTGAAATCTCTTCTTTAAAATGATATAATTTAATGTATGAGTTGATTAGAAAAATTTCCGAGAAAAACAATTTTAATGATTACTCACAAAAAGAGGTTAGATTTGACGTTTATAAATTTGAAAAATCATATCTAATTTTTTTATAATAACTAAGAAATGATTTTGATATCAAATTAAAGCTGGAAACCTCCTCTTTAGAATGATATAATTTAAAGTATGAGTTGATTAGAAAAATTTCCGAGAAAAACAACTTTAATGATTACTCACAAAAAGAGGTTAGATTTGGCGTTTATAAATTTGAAAAAATCATATCTAATTTGTTTATAACAACTAAGAATTGATTTTAGTATCAAATTAAAGCTTGAAATGTTGTCTTTAAAATGATATAATTTAATGCATGAGTTGATTAGAACAATTTCCGAGAAAAACAATTTTAATGATTACTCACAAAAAGAGGTTAGATTTGACGTTTATAAATTTGAATAAATCATATCTAATTTATTTACAACAACTAAGAAATGATTTTGATATCAAATTAAAGCTTGAAATCTCCTCTTTAGAATGATATTATTTAATATATGAGTTGATTATAAAAATTTCTGAGAAAAATAATTTTAATGGTTACCCACAAAAAGAGGTTAGATTTGATGACGTCTATAAATTTGAAAAATCATATCTGGATTGTTTGTGACAACTAAGAAATGATTTTAATATGAAATTAAAGCTTGAAGTCTCCTCTTTAAAATGATATAATTTAATGTATGAGTTGATTAGAAAAAATTTCGAGAAAAACAATTTTAATGATTACCCACAAAAAGAGGTTAAATTTGACGTTTATAAATTAGAAAAAATCATATCTAATTTGTTTATAACAACTAAGAATTGATTTTGATATCAAATTAAAGCTTGAAACCTCCTCTTTAGAATGATATAATTTAATGTATGAGTTGATTAGAAAAATTTCCGAGAAAAACAACTTTAATGATTACTCACAAAAAAAGATTAGATTTGACGTTTATAAATTTGAATAAATCATATTTAATTTGTTTATAACAACTAAGAATTGATTTTGATATCAAATTTAAGTTTGAAGTCTTCTTTTTAAAATGATATAATTCAATGTATGAGTTGATTAGAAAAATTTCCTAGAAAAACAATTTTAATGATTACTCACAAAAAAAGGTTAGATTTGACGTTTATAAATTTGAATAAATCATATTTAATTTGTTTATAACAACTAAGAATTGATTTTGATATCAAATTAAAGCTTGAAATCTTCTCTTTAAAATGATATAATTTAATGTATGAGTTGATTAGAAAAATTTCCGAGAAATACAATTTTAATGATTACCCACAAAAAGAGGTTAGATTTGACAACGTTTATAAATTTGAAAAATCAAATCTAATTTGTTTATAACAACAAAGAATTGATTTTGATATCAAATTATAGCTATTAACATACCGAGAAATGTTATGACATTTATTACAGCCGCAGATGTCAGATTTTAAGACATCTAAGGCTGTAATGCGTCATAACATCGAGGTTTGTTCAATAGTTTTTGTAATTCGCGACGGTAATGAAAGCTATAACAGTACTGAAACGGGTGCTGTAATGAGACTCCTTACAGCATCCGATGCTGTAATGAGATTTTAGTAACATTTTATGGAACCAGTTCATGTTGGTGACATTGGGTCATTAATTTTTCTAGTTGTCAATGTGACAATGTTTGTCCATGGATGTTTAAATACGTTCTTAGCATCGAATACAAGGTCCACAATGATGAGGACATTGAACTCTGAGCAATTTCTCTTATTTTGGGAGGTGTACATGAAACATGTTTGTCAGGTGAATACATTTTGTGTTTTGACAGTTTCTAATTGTCAATTCAAATTTCTATTTTCAAGTGTTACGGTGTTACCAACTGCTAGATACCTATTTTAACAATAGTAAATCAAAAATTCATTTGCAACTTTTTCCGTAAATGTCAAAGTCGTTATACAAGTTAGTTGCTAGGCAGTCACAAAGATGTTTATTTGTCAACAAATATATTTTTTTTTTTAAATTCATTAATTTGTAAAATGAGTGACTTTAATTTACCTAAACTAACTAATGCATCACACTTTTTCGGGTTGTTTTAATTGCATGGTGAACATAAATAATTACTATTATTAAAAATAGCATTAGGTTTCTGTTCCATTGTTACTTAAAATTTTCATAATTAAGGTTTATTAAATATGTAGCTGCTTTTCCTGTATTGTAAAAATATAACATTACCAATTTGTCATTTTTACATTACCGATATGTCATTTTTACATTGCTAATACAGTTATAAGGTACATTACAAACCAACTTTTGTGAATGTTAAGAACCTTTTTACAGCCTGAAACCGGTAAAAGCTTAAAATCTAATGATATTATTTAATATATGAGTTGATTATAAAAATTTCCGAGAAAAATAATTTTAATGGTTACCCACAAAAAGAGGTTAGATTTGATGACGTCTATAAATTTGAAAAATCATATCTAATTTGTTTATAACAACTAAGAATTGATTTCGATATCAAACTAAAGCTTGAAATCTCCTCTTTAAAATGATATAATTTAACGTATGAGTTAATTATAAAAATTTCCGAGAAAAACAATTTTAATGATTATCCACATAAAAAGCGACGTTTATAAATTTAAAAAAATTATATCTATTTTATTTATAACAACTAAGAAATGATTTTGATATCAAATTAAAGCTTAAAATTTCTTCTTTAAAATGAAATAATCTAGTGTATGGGTTGATTATAAAAATTTCGAAGAAAATTATTTTTCAACATAAACGATAGCTATTCTTTTTTGGTTTGGATTGGAAGAATTTAGTGGGTGTGCCTCANTTTTGATGTCAAATTAAAGCTTAAAATTTCTTCTTTAAAATGAAATAATCTAGTGTATGGATTGATTATAAAAATTTCGAAGAAAATTATTTTTCAACATAAACGATAGCTATTCTTTTTTGGTTTGGATTGGAAGAATTTAGTGGGTGTGCCTCACAATTTAAAATTAGAGTTTCAACAAAAATAATGTTCTTGTGCGAAAAACAGTGGGACTTTCCAAAAAATGTCTTCAACCGTGAAAATAGAATGCAGCTGAAAAATAACCCGAAACGTGATGATTAATACGTTTAAATTGATGTTTTTGGATGTGGATGTGCCATTTTTTACGCGACAAAGTGCGTTTTATTTACGCTAATAGATCTAAGTGCAACTTAATTTAGTGTTCGTTTGGATTAAAATGTAATTTTAAAGGTATCTTTTAATAAACACACCGGTTGCTTGAAATAATAGTAAATTTCGTTTTGAAATTTTGCCAAAAACGATGTTACTATAGACGGGAGGTGCGTAAATTGTTGAACTGTTGCCTTGAAAATTTTGCATTTATCACGTGTTCTATTACATAACTTTAATTTGTAATTTTTATCGAGGAAAATCCTTTATTGATTATTTTACCCTTAATTGAATTAATTTTCTTGTCTTTTTTTCAAGTTACCTGAATTATTATCTAAGGAATGTCGACGTGCATTGGAGAAAGTACACTCAAAAAGTTCTTTAATAGTATCTAGCATATTCCGAAGACACACACATCAACGACAGCACACAACTGAAGCCTAACTACACACAAATTCGCTGTTGTAAATTTTCTTTTACTAAATGCGTCCCCACTTTTTTAAATACAGAGTACTTCAAAAGTTTTTTCGTTTCAAATTCGTTCTCGTCTCGTGCTTTATTTAGATACGCGCGAAGCTCATTCGCGTAACCGATGCAAGGACGAAATTCTTCATAAAAAAAAAATCTTTTTATTAAACATTTTATTTCTTCATCTTTATTGAATCAGTCATCCTGGGTTCAACGAAACAATTAAAATTAAATTCAATCCGACTTAATTTATGTGACGCGAGTGAAGAAGTGAATTTATTATCAAGGTCGCGAATTCTTTACATTTATTTTAATCAATTTAGATTTTAATAATCAAAAATTAAAACTTTGTAAACAAAATTTGGTGGACCACTGTTATCCGATTTTAAAATAGCAATTTATAGACGACATCACGAGTATAACACGAAAATAAAACAGCTCAATGGTTCAATTTTAGAGATTTTCGGTTTCTTCAAATTGATTTTTTTGAATGTCCTAAATTTAGAATGAAATGAACTCAAAATTATCCGCGTATCTTACTGTGTGTATAAATAGATCATGAACGTTTATGATTCTGAAAAGATTTATCACCGAAGAAGCTGCAATAAAAAAATCGCGTAAAGTGTTGCGTCAATGTTCCGAAAAAAAGGGAAATTTAAGTAAAAACATCACGAGATCCATTAAGTTTTTCGTTTTTTCCACACTAAATCCTCTACACTCAATTAAATTATTTATAACTAGGGTAATGTGCGTCATTTAGAACGAAAATTCACCGCTTAGGTATTCCAGTGATATCGTTTAGAATTATTTTTGACTTGATTTCATTTGTTAGTAATAACAAAGTTCAATTAAATAATCGTATCATCGGAATTAATAGGAACGAAACAATTATCTTTGGTGTGTTAAAACTTTATTAAATTATCTTTAAAATGGTTCTTATTTCATGATGATATCTCAATTCGTTCTTAAGATACGATTTTTTAAATTTCACTCTCCAGTAATAACAGAGTTGAATAAAAAAAATCGTATCATCAGAATTAATAGGATCAAAACAATTATTTTTGGCGATTTAAAACTTTATGAAATTATCTTTAAATTGGTTCTAATTTCATGACGATATCTCAATCCGTTCTTGAGATACGATTTTGAAAATTTCAATCTTTAGTAATAACAAGGTTGAATAAAAAAAATCATGTTATTAGAATTAATAGAAACGAAATAATTATCTTTGGTGTGTTAATACTTTATTAAATTATCTTTAAAATGGTTTTTATTTCATGAGGATATTTCAATCCGTTCTTGAGATACGATTTTTTAAATTTCACTTTTCAGTAATAATACAGTTGAATAAAAAAAATCGTATCATCAGAATCAATATTAACGAAACAATAATTTTTGGCATGTTAAAACTTTATTAAATTATCTTTAAAATGGTTCTTATTTCATGATGATATCTCAATCCGTTCTTGAGATACGATTTTGAAAATTCCATTCTTTAGTAATAACAAGGTTGAATAAAAAAAATTATGTTATCAAAATTAATAGAAACGGAACAATTATTTTTGGTGTGTTAAAACTTTATTAAATTATCTTTAAAATGGTTCTTATTTCATGATGATATCTCAATCCGTTCTTGAGATACGATTTTGAAAATTCCATTCTTTAGTAATAACAAGGTTGAATAAAAAAAATTATGTTATCAAAATTAATAGAAACGGAACAATTATTTTTGGTGTGTTAAAACTTTATTAAATTATCTTTAAAATGGTTCTTATTTCATGATGATATCTCAATCCGTTCTTGAGATACGATTTTTTAAATTTCACTTTTCAGTAATAACAGAATTGAATAAAAAAAATCGTATCATCAGAATTAATAGGAACGAAACAATTATCTTTGGTGTGTTAAAACTTTATTAAATTATCTTTAAAATGGTTCTTATTTCATGATGATATCTCAATCCGTTCTTGAGATACGATTTTTTAAATTTCACTTTTCAGTAATAACAGAGTTGAATAGAAAAAATCGTATCATCAGAATTAATAGGAACGAAACAATTATCTTTGGTGTGTTAAAACTTTATTAAATTATCTTTAAAATGGTTCTTATTTCATGATGATATCTCAATCCGTTCTTGAGATACGATTTTTTAAATTTCACTTTTCAGTAATAACAGAGTTGAATAGAAAAAATCGTATCATCAGAATTAATAGGAACGAAACAATTATCTTTGGTGTGTTAAAACTTTATTAAATTATCTTTAAAATGGTTCTTATTTCATGATGATATCTCAATCCGTACTTGAGATACGATTTTTTAAATTTCACTTTTCAGTAATAACAGAGTTGAATAAAAAAATCGTATCATCAGAATTAATAGGAACGAAACAATTATTTTTGGCGTGTTAAAACTTTATTAAATTATCTTTAAAATGGTTCCTATTTCATGACGATATCTCAATCCGTTCTTGAGATACGTTTTTGAAAATTTCATTCTTTAGTAATAACAAGGTTGAATAAAAAAAATCATGTCATCAAAATTATTAGAAACGAAACAATTATCTTTGGTGTGTTAAAACATTATTAAATTATCTTTAAAATGGTTCTTATTTCATGATGATATCTCAATCCGTTCTTGAGATACGATTTTTTAAATTTCACTCTCCAGTAATAACAGAGTTGAATAAAAAAAAACCGTATCATCATAATTAATAGGAACGAAACAATTATCTTTGGTGTGTTAAAACTTTATTAAATTATCTTTAAAATGGTTCTTATTTCATGATGATATCTCAATCCGTTCTTGAGATACGATTTTTTAAATTTCACTCTCCAGTAATAACAGAGTTGAATAAAAAAAAACCGTATCATCATAATTAATAGGAACGAAACAATTATTATTGGTGTGTTAAAACTTTATTAAATTATCTTTAAAATGGTTCTTATTTCATGACGATATCTCAATTCTTTCCTGAGATACGATTTTTTTGATTTCACTTTTCAGTAATAACAGAGTTGAATAAAAAGAAATCGTATCATCCGAATTGCTAGAAACGAAACAATTATTATTGGTGTGTTAAAACTTTATTAAATTATCTTTAAAATGATTCTTATTTCATGATGATATCTCAATCCGTTCTTGAGATACGATTTTGAAAATTTCATTCTTTAGTAATAACAAGGTTGAATAAAAAAAATCATGTCATCAGAATTAATAGAAGCGAAACAATTATTATTGGTGTGTTAAAACTTTATTAAATTATCTTTAAAATGGTTCTTATTTCATGATGATATCTCAATCCGTTCTTGAGATACGATTTTTTAAATTTCACTTTTCACTAATATAGAGTTCAATAAAAAAAATCGTATCATCAGAATTAATAGGAACGAAACAATTATTTTTGACATGTTAAAACTTTATTAAATTATCTTTAAAATGGTTCTTATTTCATGATGATATCTCAATCCGTTCTTGAGATACGATTTTGAAAATTCCATTCTTTAGTAATAACAAGGTTGAATAAAAAAAACCGTATCATCAGAATTAATAGGAACGAAACAATTATTATTGGTGTGATAAAACTTTATTAAATTATCTTTAAAATGGTTCTTATTTCATGATGATATCTCAATCCGTTCTTGAGATACGATTTTTTAAATTTCATTCTTTAGTAATAACAAGGTTGAATAAAAAAAATCGTATCATCAGACTTAATAGAATCGAAACAATTATTATTGGTGTGTTAAAACTTTATGAAATTATCTTTAAAATGGTTCTTATTTCATGATGATATCTCAATTCGTTCCTGAGATACGATTTTTTAAATTTCACTTTTCAGCAAAAAAAAAATCGTATCATCGGAATTAATAGAAACGAAATAATTATTTTTGGTGTGTTGAAACTTTATTAAATTTATTACAAAATTGTTTTTATTTCGTCTTAATATCTCAATTACTTATTAAGATACGATTTTCTAATTTTGATATCTAATGTATGATGTTTTGTAAGGTATTTTAATCATATTAATCACCCGATTAGATCATTTGTTGTTTGAGGTTTTATACAATATTTAATATCTATGTTTTTCCAAGAAAGAACAATTAAAAAAAACTTTATTATTTAAACATTTAAAGCAAGCCACGTGTTTTTACGTCTTTTTAATGTGTGTTGTTTGGGTTGTTGCGCAATTTTGCGTCTCAAATTCTCTATTGATCTCTCTTTGCTCCACCCAGTTAAAATTTCTAAAACCAAATACTGTACATAGTTTTAAACTAATTTTTAAATTATAGCTTTTTTTCTTGAAAATAGATAACATATTTTATTGATTGGTAATAAGGGATTAAGTTATAAAAATGGATTTGAAATAGTTACTAAAAACGTGATGCAAGTTGTTTTGTAGACTTGGCAAATATTATTTATCGCCATTAATTTTATTTTGAGAGTTGAAAAACGGTTTAGGGCGCTTCTCACTCGGCACGTGAAACATTTTGCCATTATAAATAGTCACAATAATAATAATAAGACGTGATTTAATACAAACAATGAATCTTTGTTTTAATTAACTCGATCCAATTGTTAAAAATTTTTTCTATTAATTTTCTTCGGAAGGGTTATTGTTCCAATTTGTGTCTAACATTTTTTTTTACGATTCGCGTGCTTCTCCTAAATGGATAAATTACTCTAATTGATCTACATAATTGAAACGCATCGTGCGACAACACAAAAAAGAAACATTTTTTTTGTACACACTTTTATTTTATTGGTAACATACATTTATCGATTTCTCTTTTTAATGCATTTCTTGAAACATTATTATAACATTTTCAAAATTCATAAAGAAAATCTCATTTAGTTTCTGAGATATCAATTTTTGAACACAACCCTACATTTATAGGTTAATTGTTATTGAAGATTTTTGAAAAAATCGTTATAAATTGATTTTTAAAGCAATCGTTTTGAAACTGGGTAGA